CTACAAATTCTCATTTAGGGAGTTAAGTATTCCTCTCAATCCAACTCTGTTTTGTGTCATGGCCACTTTCCTGTCACAAGACTGCCTCTCAAACTTCGAGTCTAACCACCCCACAGACTGCCAGTACGGGACGCTCCATCAGCACAGGAGCTGTAATCCAAGTCTTCCAATAACTCTGCCCACCACACACTGAACCCTCACATTTTAAACAGCCTCGTGGGGGCATGAATCTGCATGATTAGGCCACAAAAACCAAACTCCTGCACGGTCAGACACTGGAGCAGGGAAGGTGACAATCTTGGCTCTGGCAAGGGGACCACACTCAGGCCCATACCACCTCGACTGAGGATGAACGAGGACTGCTGCAGTGTGGTCCTCTGAGAACTGCTGCAGGTTTCCGAGGTGAAAGCCCTCTTTGTCACGGAGTGAAGCTTCGCTGTCTACGGATTTCACCACCGAGATGGCACCAGGCTCGGAAGATTCGTGGAAGAAGCTGGCTCTGCTGCTGTTTGCTGAAAGACATCTGCTGTTGGGGGAATGTCCGTGAGAGTGACTCATTAGCCCTCCAAAGCTCAGCTAGTGTCAACCAGCAAATCAACAGACAGGATGTGGGGGCTGTTTTCTTTGAAAATAAGCACCGTGACTAATTTTTGCCCTAACTGGGACAGTCAAACCACTCCGTAGCTAAGTCTGTTCCTAAGTGCCCTTTTGATTTAAAGCTTAACAGACACTTGTTTAAGATGGATGATCATTTGGAGGGATCTGGAAAGGCTCAGTGAGCTGCAGGCGGCTGCAGTTTCCACTCTCCCTTATTAGTCTAAAACATACAGTAGAGCGATATTTCATTTAGCTGCGAAGCACACAAGTGGGTGCTAAGATTGCGAAAAGGAGATTTATTTTAATGAGGTTTTTTTGACAGAAAGAAGTCAATCTAAGCACCGATCGCAACCCAGAGATAACAAACAAAGGAACGTTTGAGCCATGAGACGTGTGCTACTTGAGTTTCAGCATGCCTACCAACAGATATATATAGTCTGTTAAATACATCTATTAGTGAGCAGAAATTCAGATGGTTTTCATTGTTCATGTGGTTGGCATGAAAAGCTTATTTATTCTAGAGTCAAACCTTGAAACCATCTTATCAAATGGATCTCCCTTGAAAAGAACTGCGACCTCAGAACATTGTAGAGTCAGCATTAGTCACTGAACTGGAGGACCCACTAATAGTATGACTGTTGACTGTATGTGTGTCTGGATATACGATTTTGGTTATTGTGATAAATGACGTGAGTCATGGAGGTCTGTTTAAGTTTTCAGGACCGCCTGGGGAGGCAGAGCCGAAGGACCTATCGCCCTGACTACTCAACTGTTTTTACACCATAGTTAAAACACTGAAAAACAAAAGGGCCTCCCAGCCTAAACTGGCTCAAGAGAGGCATGAGCTAAAGAGCCACAAAGCACAACAGAAGGGACCACAGAAATGTTTTACATCCAGTCCAGTGGAGAATAAAAAAAAAATAGTCTAACAGGAGCGGTAGCACCAATCTGGTATTTTATTTTGGCTGCTGACAATAATTTCTACTTATAATGAAAAAAAGCAGGTTGGCAGCATCAGTTTTATTGATGCTGAAATAAAGAACAGCGGTGTCCCCGGAAATTTGTCATAAGGGGGCCAAACGGGGACACTGAAAACGTTGGGGTGGCACACCAAAACCAAAAGCCACAACTGAATTCCAGGAATTTGCTTTTGCTGTTGACATTTATAGGCTTGTGAAAAATGAAGCCAATATGAGAGTCTGATATTCTTTGGTTTCTTATTTTACAGTTGCTCATCTGGTGTGCAGAGACCATTACTGGTGCAGTTAATATTTTGAGTTCCACAACAATCCTGTTTTAATGTGTTATCTATCTGTATATTCATGTATTTGGCAGTTGATACTGGTTGTCCTTTACCTTTAAAAAACAAATGTTCAGCTCTAATTTGAAGGAGTACATTGGAACAAAACATTTGCTTTGAACAAGTCTTCTCAAGTTTAAAACAATACATTCACAGGGTGCCCAGTAGGTCAGTGGGTAGCAGGGACATCCCATGTACAAAAGCAATGTCCTTGCCCCAGCAGCCACAGGTTCACTTCTAGCCCACAGCCCTTTGCTACATGTCATCCCCTCTCTCTCCCCCTTTCATACTCAAACTGCCCTGTCCAATAAAGGCAAAAGCCAAAAAAAAAATCATCTTTAAAGAAACAATACATCCTCATTTCCATCTCGTCAAACACAGACGCTTCGTCAATGGTCAAAGTATGTTTTGGGTGCTCAGAGACTGCTTGTAAACCTTCATTACATGTATTGTGTCTTTCAGAACTTCCGTCACAGGAAATGTACAGTTTCTATTCATTAAATGCATACACTCCCTTTTCGAAATAAACTCGGACTGCAGGTAAAAAAGTTTGTTTTTTAGGTTCATTTCTTTAGGTTTAGGCAACAAAAACATGTGGTAAGGATGAAAGAAATACCATGGTATGGCTTAATGATACAGTTGGAAATTTGGAAACTATACACACACAGAACTGTAGCACTTCTAATGGTCTCATTGCATGTGAGCAAAAACAGCCAATCAGAGCCGAGGAGTCTCTAATGCAACTGTTATGTCAATCACTGCTCATGAACTTCGGTCAAACTGTCAAACTAGGCAGCGCTGATCAAATATGAATCAAGAGTCTGTTACTGCATTGCTTATTTCTCTCAGATGCTTTCAGAGGCACATTTTAGAGCACTGTTTAGCTGTAAAATGAGAAAGTTTGTGACCAGACCGCCATGTTGAAAACAGTAAGAGTACTAAGCACTGCCCACCAGCCAGAGCAAACTCTCAAATACAGCTAAACAGTACACTAAAATATGCTTCTGAAAACATCTGAGAGAGAAATAAGCAATGCAGTTACAGACTCTTGATTCATATTTGATCAGCGCTGCCTAGTTTGACAGTTTGACCGCAGTTCACGAGCAGTGATGGACATGACCAACAGCTGTGTAAGAGACTCCTCTGCTCTGATTGGTTGTTGTTTACTGTGCATTATTAGTTATTAGTTAGTTATTTTATCAAACATTACCAACTGTATCTTTAAAACTAGTATGTTTGTTTCAAATTAATGTAACATCACATGATATACTGTATGTCAGTAGCGTTGTATGCTACACAAACTAACACACTATGTTGTCACTGAAATAACTTGATTGACTTTTGGTCAGTAAAAGTCCAGAGTTTTATTGACCAATCCACCTCCCCTCTCACCCACCCTATGTGAACTGTCTTGCTCTTCATACCACTGCAGTTGCTCGGACCATCAATAAATGCAGCCACCCAGTGCGTCACTATCTGATGCCGGGGGCCACTGACCAAGGGTCAAAATTTAATGAGTTGAGAGTGAGACTAGGTTGTTTAAAAACACCACACAGAGGCATGTGATTATTTTCATTTTCATGAACCATCGATTGTATGGGGGTGGCCATGGCCCCCTCTGGCCACCCCTTAGTGGCACCACTGATGAAGAAATAAAAATCAGAAGAATTATATTTTTTAGCCTTAATTTAACAAGGTTTGCCCTTATTGAGATCAAACATCTCATTTGCATGATAGAAAAGAGGAAGATTACATAGCAAATCTCTACTTAAAGAAAGACATTCAGGACTTGACGTCTCAAGCTAATTTAAACCCATACAAAGGCATAGTCAGATAAAACTCCTGCTATAGCCGACTCTGGATGTGCTTTAAATGTGATTACTACATTTTTTCCACCAGTTCTGAATTTAACTGGTAACTCTACTTTTATAATAGGACAGGAAATACGCTGTCTGATCTCTTCATTTCGTTAGTTCACATTTTAGCTGCTGCATTCTAAAGTAGCTGCAGATGTGAGGGACGTCTGAATGGGGCAGGAATTTAGTTAAAATTGGATGTAATTTTTTTTTAAATGACAGCTTTCTCCAATTTTTCTTAAAACTCCTCAGATTCTGGCAGCTGGCTTTGTGTTGGACGAGGATCAATGAGATCATTAAAGTAGCATTTCTGGAGTTAGTGGACCAAATAAATCCCCTTTACATGAACTTTACTGAGCAGTGAAGGTTTAAGATAATTGAAAATCAACATTAATGATGCATTGCTAAAGCTGGGAAGCTGGGATTTGCTCTTGCTTTGTTGTAAAATGTTGCAACTAATGTCCATGAGATAATCTCTTCGTCCTCAGAGACATTCTTGGCATTGATCAGATAAGCACAATGACCCCACAGCCACACTTGGATAAACATCTTCTAAAGCTCCCGCGCCTGTGGTCATATCAGTTCATGTTTTGGAACTAAATTCTCAAAAATAATAAGCAGCAACACATGCTGAGCTGTAATAGAAGTTGTTCCTGCAGCACTATTTGGGGTTAAAATACACGGCTACTGTGATGTGTGTTGATACTTTGACTAAGCATGTCCAATTTCAAATGTCTAGTCCAATTCCTCTTTTGTTCAGCTGCTCTGCACAAAGATGTGAGTGGTCTGGGCCTAGCAGAATTTAAATCATACTATGATACCATCTAGTGGTTGAGTAGTTTTACTACCTGAACATGCCACTTCTATAAGCATTTCACTCTCACAAACAAATGTGCTCTGATCTGGCCAGAAGAAAGACAAGTTGTTTTGTTTTAAATTGAGATAGTCCAGCTAAAATTAAAATGCGTATCTGTTAAGATTTAAGAACATGTCTGCTATGTATTTATTTGCGTTGCTTTAAGATTTGATAGAAATATACATCTATTATTCATCTAATATTATTCTTATATTATTATATTATCGTATTAGTAATATTTGAATATTGTTAGGTAAAGTTTGTGATAACATTATTTATGTAAAATTCATTGGCGGCTATTATTTTTCGTCCTGTTTAGGGTGGCGGTAATGCGCCTAAAAGCCGACCGCCATTAAACATCAGAAGAAGAGGAAGCAGTTGTCGTCGCCGGATGATGACGTCAGTGTAGGACTTCATGAACGCCATGGCAGCCCATGCTAGCGAGCTTGAGATAGCAAAGAAGAATTTAACGGATGCAATTGGTGATAATGTCAAACAGTGAGTAAAATGTTTTTTGTGTGTGAGTGGTTCGATGTTTGTGATGTTTTCTGTCTCGTTTCTGGGTTTGTCGCGGAAATGTTAAGTCATTTTTACCATTAGCTAGCTATGTGCAGATGAGCATCTTGCTAGCTCTTGCTAATGTTTCCAGCATCTCTCCTCAGCAACAGTTATCAGTGAGCCAATATTTGTGTATTGTTCAGTGTTTATTATGTTCATACGGGAAGAAGTGACACAGATAGCAAACGTGAAGTGTGACGTTGCTAGTTACGTTGAATTTAATCTGTTAAATCCATTTTAACGTGTGTGTAGGATGGTGTAAATACAGCTATCTTTATATATTTGGATATGTAAATTGAGTTAGCGTTAAACGAAAAAAAGATGATTTAAAAAAAGAGATAAAAGCTTGAGATGAAAGGCTGCATTATGTCTAGTAAAGGTTTGATTGTGAAATGATAACATTGTGAATGCATCTCATCTCTTGGAGTAGACTCTGCCCTGTATTGATGTTTTGTGTTTGTGTCCATACAGCTACTGGGCGAACCTGAAGCTGTGGTTCAAACAAAAGATCAGCAAAGAGGAGTTTGACATCGAGGCACGTCGCCTGTTAGCACAGGAGAATGGTTAGTAAGCAAGAATAATACTTTATATTGTTGAAAAGTTGATGCTGTCTGAGAAGGCGTTACTGATTATGTATTAACGTCCCTCTTCCTGTACAGTCCATGTCCACAATGATTTTCTCCTGGCCATTCTCACACGCTGTCAGATCATCGTCTCCACTCCAGGTAAGATTTTTAAGATAGCTTTTTTCCTCTGAAACTGCACATGAGCTTGCCTTTATCTTAAACAAACATTTTATTCTAACTTTAAGTACCATCATTTGTTGTAAAATAATCATCTTTATTTATTATTTTTGTACATGTATTGATGTGATTTTCAGTTTCAGTTAAGTTTATATAAGAGAGGACAGCACAAATTAATAAATACACATGTTATAAACATGCCAGAATTAGCCTATTATTCATCTGTAGTCATCATCTTGGCCATGATGTTACAAAAAACAGGGTATACAGTTTAAAATGCTTATTTAAACACATCAATAAGAACAGGACATGCAATTTAAAAACTGGAAAAGGACGTACAATTTTTAAAGGCACTAGAGACAGTAGTGACAAATAGAACACTGCAAAGCAGGACATATAAATAGCAGCAGCAGAGAACAGTTTAGAGCTTATGTTTGTATGCGTTAATCATCCATTGTTTTAATTACTGAAAGATCTGTAAGTGTTTAGTTCTCTGATATGAATTGGATTTACATTCCACATTTTATTGTCTTTGGTGTTGGCGCAGTATAGTTTTCAGACACTTTGAAATAAGGATATCCTTGTTAAATTAACTACAGCAGTACCCATTCAAAATATACTTGTTTGGAACGATCTGATTGCTTCGCCTGTGTTTTTGCTGCTTACAAGTTTCTCAAGAACTGCAAACAACTCATTGCAAACAACTTCACACTCGATGCTGTGTGTCTTTCACCAGCCATGACATATTAGCATCACACACCCAAGTTGCAGCTACTCACGGTCAGGAAATGCCCTCTGGTTGACGGGAAAAAAACCCAAGGGCCGACTTTATCATCAGGCAAACAGGCAACTGCCCGGGGTCCCAAACAGCTATAGAGTTATAATGTTCAGATCTGAAAAAAATTGTGGGAGTGCACGATTACATCAGCACGTTATCTGTATTGGCCAATGTTGGCTTTAGAATGAACTAACAGAACTGGCCAGCTTTTTCTTAATTTGCATAGTTAATTAATATTTTATACACTGAAAAGTATTGTATGTCATGTCTCCATCTGCTGGTGAGCCATCAGGATAAGAGTATGCATCCCTAAAATATTGGCATATGTTACTATTAGTGGTCATTGTACCCTGGACAAAAGTCCCCAAAGCACTGAAAAAATATGCAACACAACGGTCCACCACTTACTTACTGTGCACTTATACCTCTACTTTAGAGGAGAACATTGTACAACTACATTAAAGCCCACCAGACACAGGTCTACCGCCCAAGACTTTTATTACCCACCCACTGCACACAAGCACGTTGTTTGTGATTTATTTTTCAAGAAAAATTTGTTGGGGAAATTATATTTTAAATGACATCTTCATTAGTGTTTCCTCACTGCAGCTTGTGTTATGTGTTCTTCTACTGTCCTCTAGAGGGCGCAGGGCCATTACAGTGGCAAGGTGGCTCTGCTTCAAAGCCTGGAAAACCAAAAGGGAAGAAGAAATGTTCCTCTAGACAGAAATTTGATGTAAGTATTTATTCTCATATTCATTCATGAAGAAGCTGGGTGAGTTAACAGCAGCTCTGCCAAATTTTCAAACAAGATAATTGCTCAAGTAATGACTGGGTGAAAATGTTTTTTTAGAGGGTAGTGGCAACTAATTAAGCTCAAGGCGCCTGAACAACTGCCTGTCTCTATCATGTTGATGTTCGTCGTATGTCTTGTTTGCACCCTCAGCATCGTTTCCAGCCACAGAACCCTCTGAGCGCCGCCCAGCCTTTTAGCCCACGGGAGGTCGGAGGTGAGGAGGAGGAACTGCGTCTCAGTGCACACACTCTGCTGTTGCCCACGCGGGGGCAGCTGGAGGCCCGCATGATGGTGACGGCCTTTGAGCTGGGGCTGGATAACATCACAGACGACGCCGTCAGCAGCATGATCCATGCCGTTGAGGTTAGTAGCAACTGGAGGAAAGGCGTGTGTGTGTAACAGATCAGTGGGTCCACAGCTCTTTTGATAATGCTGAATTCGGTCATACTCTACCTGGATGGTCGAGTACTTTGTACCCCGCACATCACTGGACCAGATAGTATTCCTTTCGTTTCCTATATTGCCCAACCCAACATGGACCTGAACATTTTATTAGCAGTCTATATTTTAACATGCATGCAGAGACTTAAAATGAGCGGAGAGATTTATTTTCTGTACAGCTTAATAAGTATGACTGACAGCTGTGTTTACCCAGAGGACTGAGCAAAGCTTGACTTACTGCCCTGATTTATTTCAGCACCACTTGAAAGACGTCCTGACCGCCGTCATCACCCGGAGGAAGGCGTACAGGTTACGAGATGGTCGCTTCCCCTATGCCTTCGGCAGTGATGTCACGCCGCAGCCTTATCTGAAAAACAGCCTTGCTGCTTATCACAGTGTTACTGAATGGTAGGGACAACTGTGTTAGCTCTTACTAGCTGATAAACATGGTCAGGTTTTATATAAGATCAGGAAGTCAATGTTGGTGTACGTTTTTCAGTCCATAATCATTTTTACCTTTTCCTCCTTTCAGTCCTCCTCCAAGCGCGTCCCTCGCAGCTGGCCCACCTCCTCAAGTGTCACCAGATGAGGCAGAGCAGCAAGCCGTTCACTTACTGGCTTGCTCTGCTGACAGTCTACCCGCACCCCTCCCTCCGATCAGCATGTTCGACCTCTTGGAAGCTTTACAGGTATAGGTACAGACACACCAAACTGTCATCAAAGAACTGGTGGCGATGAAGGCCAACTGTTGCGTCTCCTCACATGGCGTGTGTCTCGCTAAGTCACACTACCAGCACGTATATGTTCTGCACCTGCATGAGAGGAAATGATTCTCCATACCAGGAGGCGGCGGTAGTCTGTATATGTCATTAACAAATGGAAACCAGAAGACTGTCTGGGTAAATTCAAGATGCTAGAGTCACTTAGCACATTGATAACACAACGTTGGCAAACAATAACACAAATGGTTTCTGAACAGTTTCTGCTCAAGAGCTCAGTGGCTAAAAAAACTCTTGCCTAATATAATAAGTTTGTTTCAGTCTCCCTCTTGACTTCAGTATTTTGTTAGCTTTCCTCATTTCCATTTCTTGTCTCGTGCGCTGAGTTGAGTGATTTTTCTAATAGACCGGCTCCGATGCAAACTCCCTGCTGCTGTCAGGGGGTGACTAGTGCCAATGAAGTAAATATTTAAACAATATAAGTCATACTTTCTTGTTAATATTCTAAAATGTTTTAATTCATGTCATTAACTGTGCTTGGACCACTATGGTTACTGAATCTGTCCACATTAGTAATCCTGGCCTGCCCTCATGAAACCATCAGAGGTTTGTATTCTTAAATGTCTCCCTGTGATATTTGTCTGATTTAGGTTCACCACGGTGTGATGCCCTCCCACACTATGTACGCCCTAAACATGGAGCGCATCCTGTCACGGCTCTGGCACCCGAGCCACGAAGAACTAGAGCAGGACCACGTACACCGGCAGCGCCTCGCTGCAAAGGAAGGCATGCTCGTCAGCTGAGAGCCACTGACGCAGGACTTTATATGGACTGCAGATATCATCGGGAACAAACACAGAAGTAATCCCCACATGGAAACGGGTGATAGGAACAGTGTGTCCAGCTGGCTAATTATTTTAGTCTGTGCCACCAAGACATTTTGGCAGAAGACTAACTATCATTTGGTGGTAAAATAATGGAAGAATTTAATCTTAGGATACACCAGCAGCTACAAGCACCTGACAGGAACATAAGGTCCTGGGCCAGAGGTGTTAATTTTTCGGTGTCAGATATGCACCACAACTGTTAAAGGGACAGTTCAATATCACCCCAAAATCTAAAACACATATTTTTCCTCTTACCTGTAGTGCTACTTACCAGTCTAGATTGTTTTGGTGTGAGTTTCAGAGTGTTGGAGATATCGGTCGTAGAGATGTCTGCCTTCTCTCGAGTATAATGGAACTAGATGGCACTCAGCTTGTGGTGCTTCCAGAAATCATGACCCGGTTACTCAAGATAATCCACAGACCTTGTTGGGAGCAGTTTCATGTAGGAACTATTAGGTAGTAACTGCCGTACTAGCGTGCAGAAGGACGCAGGCATCTACACATGGACGAGAGGCTCATTACATTGTGAGATGTAGAAAATTAATGGCGTCCTTCTCAGCTGAGCTGTAACGTTAGCCAGCTCAGTGGTGCTAGGTGAGCTAGCAGTAGATGCACACTTTCTTCTGTGCCGTGATTCGGTTGACGGGTGTAGTTCAGTAGAAAGAAAATAGTTCCTACACGAAACTTCTCACAACAAGGTCTGTGGATTATCTTGAGTAACCAGGTCATGATTTCTGGAAAGACACATTGATGTTGAGTTTTTCAAATGTATTTTTTGGAGATTTGAGCACCACAAGCTGAGTGCCATCTAGTTCTGTTATATTGGAGAGAAGGCAGACATCTCTATGGCTGATAGGGTTTGGTATCATTTACATTTGAACCAGTACCTGAAATTCAGGACCAATACCATACAGTACAATGTTTTGGTCCCTTTTAGTAATAACATAAATGTAATTTTCGAACAAGTTTCAGGTGTGACGTATAAGACTAAGGGGCCGTACACATGCCGCATCTTTATCTGTCTGTTTAACATCTTCTTCTAAGTGCAGAGCTCTTCCAGGCGCTGCTCTGTAAGTGCTTATTGGGCCAAAAATATTGTCCATGGGACAGATGTAAAGCTCTGACAGCCCTGAACTAAAATGATCAACTTCTTCATATTTACCACAGTTTGATTTTTACAGAAGAAGGGAAAGATACCTGTCGGCTGTGATTGGTTGGTCCTCATCACGACATGTGGTGCATCCTGCTGCGTTCCAGAAGTTGAACTCCATTTATCTCAGGGCGCAGCCATTGTGCCCTGAAACATAGGTGTTCTGGAACACACGCGTGCCACAACGGCATTGCTCTGGCGTTTGAGCACGCGTGCCATGCATCTACATTGAAAACAATGAATTTGAGGGCTCAAAAAACGCAGCATGTGTACGGCTCCCGAGAGGCAGTTCTGCTCCTCTGATCTACTGTCTCTGTCTCTTTGTGGCGGCTTGTGATACTAGCCTACTATTACTAAAATACCATAGCAAGGAAAATAGATGCTCAAACTATTACAGTAACTTGGCAGTGCAGCGATGGTTTTTTGCTTGCTGGGAAGCCAACATAGCATTGGTGGAGCTCCATGGTGGGCTTCAAGAGGCTTCAGTCTCCTGTCTGAAGTTGAATCCGGTTGGCTTCCAGGCTCTGGGATGCTTCGTGGCACTTCTGCCTCTTATGTGCTCTCAGGTACGGACATTTGGCACAGGTGGATTTAATGTACCAACTCGTTACCCTTGTAAGCACCAAGTTTGGTACCCAACTTTAATGGCTGATATCTCCAACGCTCAGCAACTCACACAAAAACAATCTAGACTGATAAATAGCTCTACAGGCAAGAGGAAAGAATATGTATTTTTGATTTTGTGGTGGACTATCTCTTTAAAATATGTCCCAATAACACAGATCAATCAGTATCTAATCATGTAGCATTGTGTACATCAACAGGTCACAACATACTGCATATAGTCTTTAGGGCCCTGTTCTTGTTCCTGGCCTCATCTCGTCAGGTGCAGCGTTATGATGAGAATTATTTCATCTACAAGGAAGAATGATAAAGTTGGAAATCATCCCGCTCCAACAGGTACAACAGAAATGTCAATACAGCGCTGTCAGCACAGGATCCTGACAGAGGTCTAATCAAACATCAAGTGAAAGCACCTGTGTGTGTTTGCTGTGGGTGTGTAGGGTCCTTTAAAATGTGCCAGGCAGCTGTGTCCTGTGTCATCACGCCCGTCGTGAACTTGCCATCAAGTTGTCTGCGAAGTAATCCTGAAACATTTACTGGTGTCTGGTTTAAAGGCCAGCGAGTGTCCGTCAGTGTTGGTGGTCCTCCATGTGTGTACAGATTAAGCTAAAAGTTTTTTTTAACGTCTCAGTGCACTTGAATTTCATCTGTTTGCCATGTTTGTGTGCAGCATTTAGTTCAGGTTGAAATGTGTATAAAGTTGTACATTTTTTTTACGCAAACCTTTGTAAATTTGTAACTACAGACAGTAGTTTAGCAAATAAATAAAATGCATTTTTTACAAGTTACACACTCAAGTGCTGTACAAATTTGATGTACTTGTAATTTAATATTTTCTCCTCAGGCTGCTTTCTACTTCTATTCCACTACATCTCAGGGGTAAGTATTGTAGTTTTTACTTCTCTAGCTTTTAGTTATAATCCATCCTGTCAAACCTACTGTGACCAACAGAGATCAGCTGATGTGTTCAGTAGTCAAGTGGTAAGGTGGTTGATCTGAAATACAAAGGTTAAGAGTTTAAACACTGCTTTTGCCGTCCTGCAGGTGTCTGAATCTTTGCATTTTACAGGATAACTTAAGACACTTCTCACATAGTAGGACTGTTAGTGTACAAATTAACGGACATGGGATGCATTCCACATTTTGAACTAAATAAAAATTCAACATGGTTTCACAGGAGGTTATAAGCCACGTCAGATGTTTCTCAAAGTAGATTTATATACATCAGTAGAGCAACAGCATAAAGTAACAACGACCTAGAATAATTTTAAGGAAACATTTGTTAAAAAGTTTTTTGCGTCTTGAAACAAGAAACAAAAACAAGCATTTAAATATGTGCTGTCTGCTTGGACCCTGTTAAATGCTGCGTGTGGCTTTAATTGATTTAATTTGGTTTAACTTCAAACATACTTTAAAAAAAAAAGAAAAGAAAGAAATTACAATTAACTAATAATAACATAAAGTGAATAGTAATCCTAAAAAAAATTCAGAAAACAAATTCTCAAACAAAATAAATGAGCATTAAATACATTACATTATTAAATACATGTCCCAAAGGAGAAGGAAAAAGTATACACTATACAAAAAGTATACAAGTTATCAATAAATAATGGTAAAAACAAGTATTAATTTTTTTTTTTGGTAGTAGTAGTAGTAGTAGTAGTAGTGATAATAATAATAATAATAATATAGCATGACAGTCACAGGGGAAATTATTTTGAGTATTTTTACTTTCAATAATGTAAATATGCTCCTGACTAACTTGTAACATAGTATTTGGGTGGCATTTGTACTTAAAAAAAAAAAAAAGGAATAAATAATTAGAAGAAATAGTAAAAATAAATAATAAAAATTGTTAATTGATGTTATTGTCAATAATGATAAATGACTAAATAAATAGTGGTTAATAAAAAATGTAAATTTTATTTTTATGATCATTAATGACAACAACAATAAGAAGAAATACTGATAATAACAGTCACAGGGGACATTATGTTGAGTAATTTTACTTTTAATACTGTAATTACTTTCCTAGTAATAAAGTATATTTTTACAGGGTGGCATTTGTACTTTTTAAAAATAATAATAGTAATAATTAGATATAAATGAAAATGGTTAATTGTTTCATTAGCAATAATAGGCCTAATAATACTAATATTTTATAAATAATGAATGAATTAATAATAATTGTACATTGTATTTTTGTTACCATTAATGACAACAAAAATATTAATAATAATAATATAGCATAACAGTCACAGGGGAAATTATTTTGAGTAATTTTACTCAACACTGAGAATTTTTTTATTGTGCTTGATTGTACTTAAAAAATAATAATGAAAGTAATAATGATAATAATAATAATAATAAATGATTTTTAAAAAATACATAAAACAACAACAGCAATAATATAAAATAACAGTCACAGGGAACATTATTTTGAGTAATTTTACTTTTAATACTGTACGTTCCTGATTATATTTACATACTTAGGTTAAACTTTCAATACAGGACTTTACTTGTAACCGAGTAGTTTTAGTTTTAGTTTTTTTTTTTTTTCTAAAGTAAAAGGTCTATACTTCCTCAACACAGTCCTAAAGTGTGTAAACAAATCTGCTATGCCTCCTAGGTCTCCTCTTTGAGTCACCAGCTGTAGTGGGGGGACGGTGATTCATACACACACACACACACACACACATACATATACACAGCCGTCCCACTGCGCATCGGAGACCTCTTGCCTTATTTGGCTACCTGCTGCTCACTTCCGACACCTCGCTGTCCAATGAGCGGCCGCGGAGCCTCACCAACCATGACACGCGCAACACGCTGCACTGGTGACTCAATATCCCGTCCGCCCCAGTTCCGTCAATAACAAACACTTGATGTAAAAGCTCTGTGAGACTGTATCGATGATTAATTATTCAGCAGACACAAAATTACTCACACGTCACGCGTGTCCAACAATTTTATTTCGTCATATTTACAGTCTGAAGTGCTCAAAATAAACAGCGTACAAATATTACAAAGTGTTATTTCAGGTCTAACATCAGTTACACCTTTATCACAAAGTTGTATGAACATAAGGGGTTAAGAAATAAGGCAGTTTCTTTGTCAGTAAACGCTACACACACGCACCAATAAGAGTCCTGGCGTAAAGGTGTGAGACTTATTTTGTTAGTGTTACTCTGTACATACTGTAAAGTCGCTGGTGGGATACTCAGTGCTGGACTCAAGTCTAAATGCACACACACTGCTACTTGACATAGTGGGAGATCTGCAGGGCAACGCCTCGTTCACATTGTGTTTCTGTCCATTTGCAATATGATCCCACGCAGGCTCTGGGTGTCTGTCAGGGCGCAGGGCTGCATGGGACTTAATCAATTTAAAATTAGCTGAAGGTGTGGATACATGCCATGCTACCTTGGCTCGACTCAATACACATTTCTTGTAGTTTCTGAATGGAAAATAAACAAAGATAAAACTGACAGAAATATCTAACAAGTCCCATCAGAGGGGGTTTCCTCTGAGCTTTGTCCATCTGTGCAATAGTTTGGTGGCCTCTGCTCTGTTCATTCATCATCACAAGTCTTTTCAGTCTCTTTTCTTTGCTCTTTGTCTGCAGAAACTTAGTGGACACAGCCTGAGAGGATGATTTGGTGGAAAAGTCACGCAGGGATTCCCCCACATGGCTGAACAGGCCACTGTAAGCTGCATTTGGTCCCCAAGAAATGTCCCTTGGTTCTTGTCCCTAGTAAGCTTGGAGCTGCTGCGTCAAAATGAGCTGGCAGCCGCTGTTAACGTGGTCCATGACCTTTTGCTTGAGCAGAGCCAGCTCGTCCCGGAGGACGTTGGCGGAGGAAACCAACTCCGTGTTTTGGCTCTTCAGGTTTTTGACCCTGTCCTCCAGCCGGGAGATCCTCTCCAGCTTCCTTTTCCGGCACTTGGACGCGGCCACCCTGTTCCTCATGCGCTTCCTTTCCGCTTTGATGCGCTCCTGGTTCTCCATGTTGATGGGGGAGAGAGGCGGGGTGTCGCCGGACATCTCGGGCACCGTCTGCGGCTCCTCCTTGAGCGCGTGTAGCCGCGGGTGCTGCGCCGCCGCCGCCAGGTCCATGTGGGACGGCGGAGGGGCGGCTGGGTAACTCATAGGTGGGTGCCTGTCGCTGGCAGGTGCAGACGCAGAGCCCACACCCCGGCTGAAAGCCCCCAAGTTTGTGTACTCCGGTGGGTCGGCGCGCACCGTGCAGCTGTAGGGAATCCCGCCGCTCTCAGACGCAGCAGAGCCGGATGCCATGCTGGTGGCCGCGCCGGTCTGCGCGTCAGGGTGGACGGCGGGTGTCTGCTGGTGATAGTGCAGCTCCGCCAGTGCCCTCACAAACCCCTCCGCGAACCCCTCCTGCTCGTCGGTGATGTTCTTGGGACACACGAACTGGGTCGGGGTGGGAGTCGTCAGCCCGCTGCAGGACTGGATGATCAACCTCTCCAGTTCAGGCGAGGCCAGCTTCAGCAAGCCGACATCAGGGGACGTCAGGATGTCCAGGGCCTTGGCGCTCAGCTGGGGCTTGAAGTTTTTCGGGTCGTTTAGGTTTAGCGTCATGGTCTGTTTGAGGGTTTTGGGGTTGAAGCCATACACTGTCGGCCCGTCATGCTGAGAGCTGGAGGCATTCACGGCTTCGTCGTAGAAGGTCGCTTCCATTTTTCTGGACATAAAGTTTTTTTATTATCAGGCTCTTATTATCACCTTCAATAAAGTCTGTTCTCCTTTTCTAGATATAAAAAGTCCAGGATCAAGTGTTTACATGTGTCCTGTGACTCCCTGTCTCTCGACTGTCTTGTGATAGAGTCCGCCTATTGTTGAAGTTCAACTCACTTGACAACTTCGTGTCCTGAGAAAACTTTTCTCTCGTCAACCGCGCGATCATCCAACAAAAAGCCCCGGTTGTTCCGCCGCCGCCGAGCCTCCGTGTCTCCTCACCTCAAGTATCCGCTTTGATTGATCCTCCTCCCCCCAAAAAAAGCAGAAACAGTGCCTGGACGGGGATAATACTTTCTATCACTTCCAACGTGGAGACGAACTTTATCCACCTCTAAGCTGCAGCTCTACTGAAAATAACAATGATGTCATTTCTACGGCCTCTGATTGGCCCGGGGTGATTTAGTGGGTAGGGTTTGTTTAATGACATGCAGGTTGCTCTGACAACTGGCCATATCCCCGCCCCCCCGCGATGGTTTATGGGATTAGGTAATGCAGACGGTGGAGCAATGTACTCTGGGATTACGTAGTGTTTTTGAATATTTAGTTACCCGCTCGATTATTAGTTACCCATCCTGAGGAGAGGGCTGCTCCAGATGGCCTGTGCGGTTTCACCTCGATAAAGACAAATAAATGATATTTTAATAAGATGTTTCTGGTGAGGAACATTTATATAAAGTTACACAGATCACCAAATTAGAGCACATTAAAATGATAACTTACTATCAACATGAAGTTAGCTTTATAAATCTGGTTATAAATTCAGAAGGTCAGAGCTGATGGCTGGTGAAGGAGTTAAGGGTTAAAGACAGAAGACAGAAAATGAGGTCACACCTGCACCCAGAGCTCTTTTGTTGTAAACACCAGGGGCCGGTTGCACAAAACACCTTAAGTTAAGATTTTCCTTAAAGTCCTAGTTAAGGTGTCCTCAAATTGCACAAAACTTGAGTCTTCTCCTTAAGGTTTACTTAAATGCTCACCTAAGTATTTATGTTTTTCTCCTCATCTTATCTTGTCTCATACTTAAGGAGAACTGAGACCAGGGGTGTTAAACTCATTGTAGTTCAGGGGCCACATACAGCCCAGTTTGATCTCCAGTGGGCCAGACCACTAAAACCACCTC